ACATGCTTTGTTTGTATAAAGCTGATATAATTCTAAAGTTTTAAAGCATATTCTGTTGTATTTCTCTTTTCCAATTTGTATACATGTTTATATCAGCACAAAGACACATATGAAGAAACAAAGGAGATGCAGCCTATTTCCATTTTCAAAACATCTTGAAATTTAAGCTGTTTATACAAGATAATTGGCTAATGCCATGTTTTATTTTTCAGGACCTGAAATATCCATGTCCTGTACTGACCAGAGCTGCTATTGGTGGTGTGGTCTGTGTCAGGGACTTCTTGGTTGAATGAGGAATTCCCTTGTGTTCTGATCCAGTCAGCATTGTCTGAAATCAGCTGCTCCCAGCCACACCAGTCAGACTCAAAACTACACCTTGTATAATTGCCTGGAAAAAAACAAAACATTTTTTAACATGACAGTTTTAAAGTAAAAATATCATTGGTTTCAGCATAAATAATCTAAAGAAATGAAAGAAAAACCCAATATGACATGAAAGACTCAGAGTGAGTTAGAAAAGATGGTACAGAAGTACAGTATAATGTATTAATATTTTATGCTATTATCAGATATATCTGTGATCCATTGGGATGCATCCCGTTAACAATTAATAAAGCAATCAATATTCTGAGATAGTCTGAACCATTTTTTAAACTACCTGCTGCATAGTTAAAGCATTTTTATGTTTCTGTAATAGTCTGCCAGGGAATACTCAATTACAGGATCCATCAAACTTTAAAAGCATCCTCACAGATAAGACAGATGGAAGAAGGACAGAACAGCACATTAACATTGCAGTGACATCAATTTAGACCATCAGCATTCTGTACAACTAGACTTCAGGTGAATATACCAGCCTCCATGCAAGTGTCACTACAACAGACCAGAATTATTAGCAAAACTCTTTCTTAACACAATACATCAATGGTCATGTCAAAAGAGCCTTAAAAGCACATACGTACACTCAGAAGCCTTTTAATCTTTCATCTCCAGCTATCTAAAGGAAATAAGAGATGGAACTAACTTCTTGTCCAGAATAAGTTTAGGACTAGAATAGATATCTTTCATAATTGATTCAATTTAATAGAAAACTAGTCAGATACTGTATCTCAGATGTTTAATACAAGGATTGCAACCGGATACTTTAAAGTCAAAGCTTGAGGATTTCTAGCAACACTATCTGACTGATGCATCAGATGTTGCAAGCCCAGAAATTTAAACATGACATTGGGGTTAACACCCCTACTCTTTTAAAAAGGAGTTGGGACTTCAGTTGAAGGACTCATCTAAAAGATTGCTCCTCCTATAGCACTATGTCCCCAGTTACCATACTGGGCCACTGGTTTAAAAATTATGGCCTTGAGGAAATATTGCCACCAATTGTTCCATTTTCAGCACTTTCAGTTGCAACTTGGTATTTCCTTGGTGTCCTGTCCTCACACAGTCCTGGTACAGCCTTGTTTAATGTCTAACATTGAAATGGAGGCTATCAACATTTAATTAGCATAATGGACATTTATAAATGTGATATTTGAAACAATGGAAATGGTCCAAGTATACATACAGTGTACAGTGTCTGTTTGTGGAGTCTGTGTGAATATACAGTATACAATACACTCATGATCTCAGTAGAGATTATGTACTGAAATTGTTTCAATATCCTTTAGAAAGGATGAAAAGTAGTAAATACAAAATAACATAGAGAAGTTACATGTATTACATTATACTGTACTTATGAAGCCATGTAGGGATGTGTCTCAAGAGAAATTTGTTTTCTAGGCTTCCCCCCCATATGATGGCGATTTCCAGCTCACAAGAGATGGGACACCAGCAATCAATGGAGCAGGTATCAGCTGCTCATCCTGCTCCAGTCAGAATAAATAGAGTGCTGAATGAAGAAGGAGGTAGTTATGACCAGGAGCACAAGTCCAAGGAGGAACTCCACCAGATCAATCCACCAGATCAATCCAGGCCAAATGTTTTCTTTTCCAACAACTACAGTCCCATTTTAGGGTGAAGAGCACCTCTGTAAGTTGTTTGATACACAAAGGCTATTTATTCTCCTAGCATGAAATATGGGAAAGCCATTTTCTACTATTGAAATGGCAGCTTCTCTTTCCCAGATAGAAAGCTGGAAGGGCCTCACATGGCATCACACACTATTAATAAAAAAAACATTAATAATACAACTTTTAATAATTAAATAGAAATTGAAATTAATTATTGAAACATATAAATAGTATATATGTTTACTATAGTATATATACAAATAGAAAATGTAATATAAAAAGCCTTTCTAAAATATAAATAGAAATAAATAATCTCCAGGTATATCGACAGTAGAAACAAAAAGTTCTTGTTCGTCATATTCCTAATCTCATTACATAGTCAGCTGAAATTGAAAGGGATATAGAGTCAGAGATAGAGAAATCATTCACAGTGACTAAATAAAAACATAATAAATTCCCTATTCTCTTAGCTAATAACCATTCTGAGATTCCAATATACACAATAAACTTATTTACTCTGCATGTAAAAATAAAAACACTCTTCCTCCTTTAAAATCAATTACTCTCCCCTCACAGGAAATAAGCAAAACCTAAACAACAATATATTTCTAATATTAAAGGAGTGAAAAAAAAAACACCTTAACCATATTCATCCTTGGCTTATTGTGTTGGGCAGCACATATGGTATTCTGGAGAAAGACCATATCTGAGATAGCAGTCTTATTGAAATGCTACTAATGTTTTCCAAAACACAAAAACTAAAAAATAATTGTTATTGAATATGAATTAGTGTCATTACAATCGCCTATCATTAACACTAATTTATTTACATTGCATAGTTATGATTTTCAGAGCCCCTAGATAAGTCATGGATACAGACAGTATTTTCAATAAATGTTTTATGTTTTTATTTGGGTTGGGTTTGGAGTTTCCCCAAACTCTAAAAAATCAAGTTCAGGTAGAAGGTGTTTTAAAGTGCATTGTGTTCCTTTTCAAGCACCCATTGTACCCCTAAGATGCTGATAGACATGTTCCAGATTCTTCATGATAAGCAATTACACACACAATACAGTAAATATACAGGAGATAATATAATGAACTTACTGCAAAGCTCAGTGTTTTCATCTGTGCCACCACAGCAGTCCAGGCGATAGTCACACAGCGAGGAGGTAGGGAGACACATCCCATCACTGCAGGCAAATGTTCCCAGTGGGCAGGGAACTGACAATTCTGTCACTTCACAGTTAAAAAACTGAAAACTGTCCAAAGCTAGGTATCCACTGTGGTCAAGGATAGTTCCTTCAAAAGTCATCTGAGAAGCATAGCAAAACAACTCTGACATGCATCTTACTCCATCTGATACGATGATACAGTATATAAGAAAACAAAACAGCACCTATAAACTAAAATAACATATTAAAGTCTTTTTCATAGGTTATAAGCCCTGATTCAGAAGAAAATATCAAATATAATTGTTGCTACAGTATATAGTTAATTTAGAATATACTAAGAATAGTCACAATATTCTAGACAGCATTGATACTTATTCTTGTTTTTTTTTCCAATTTCAGGTAGTCCATAATCCATAAGGCTTCTTATCTGCAATATTAGCATTGTACAGTCAGCTTTTTGTAATCAATCATAGGCATAATGATACATAATATGAGGGAACATTTTTTCATTTAAATAACTTCAAACAAACTGGCCACAGTCAGTGCATTTCTTCATACCATTAATCCTGACATACAGTATACTTCTGGGTTATTAGTAATTAGGGGGGAAAGGGTTTATGGATTTAAACAGTGCAAAATTCAAGCTTGTGACCCAAGTAGGCTTACGTAAACACACTAAAGCATTATGTTATCACTATATAAATATGTGTGTGCATGTGTCATACTGAATATCATAATTCAGTTCTTCTCTGAAAAAATAACCATATCACAAAGTAACCAAGTCTTTTCAAAAATATTATTTTGCTCAAATTGTACATAATACTGTAACAGATCACCATTTTTCTTGGTTCTAGTGTGTTGTTGCAATAAAATGATAAAAAATATCATTTTAGTTATCTAAAATGGACAAGAGTTCACAGTACACTTTTGCCTTCAAAAAGGACTTGATCCTGAATAGCATGGGTACCATCCGGCTGAAAGGCAGTTTGAAGTAGATTCTCAGTCACAACATACTGTAACGCCCTCGCCTGGTGGTGAGGAGGAAGCGCCCCTAGGCGCTCGTAGTACCGCTGGGCATGCTGGGAGTGGTAGCCGGGGAGAGTCTGAGGGTCAGCACGATGACCAGCGGCTGACCCTATCTGTGTAAATAATGTCCTAGTAGTTCGAGTGCCCTGTGTAGTCTTGTAAAAGTATAGCGTGTTGTTAGGTAATTACCACCCTAAAGACGTGTACGTGTTCCGTCAGTCTCCTCATGTGCGTGTTTATCGTGTGGTGGTTAACGAATAAAGCTAATGCTTGTTTGTTAATCTCGTCTCCACTCGTCCTTTGTTCTGGAAATAACCTGTAAACGCTACAATACATTATAAAGTTTAAAGCCCTCGAGGCAGCTACAAAGCTAGACATTCCAATTCAGGAATTCAAAGCTAGATAACTCATTTTAGAAAGAGGAATGGGATTTAACATTGTGGTGTTGTCCTAAACATTGTGTTTTGAAAAGTTATTTTTTCCACAGACAAACTTTTTGGGAGCTGCTTAAATTCAGAGGCGGATTATATTTGGGTAAATATAGATGTTTTAATTAGTTTTTATTTTTATAACAAAAGAGTATAACAACACCCTCTATCCTATCACCCTCCGAGTCCTCAACAAAAGCCTCAGACAGATGGGAGACTGGGAACTACTGTAGTTTCAGATGACTAGGTGTACAATTGATCAATTACAGTCTTGCAAAATTGAAACCAATTATTCAAAGATTAGGATTTCCGGAAGCCAAATTCATCTTGGCATAAATGTCGTCCCATGAAAATTCTTTATCTTTAACATTCATTCTTATTCCAAATACTAACAGCTGCTAAGAGTTTGTACAAAACATCACAGACGTAAACAGAAAAGAAAGCCAGTCCCTTTGTTTTTCCCCTAAAATCTAATGCATTGGTAATGCATAGGGTGTACATACAACCTAGCCCCAGGCGACAACCTAGGCAAACATGAATACTGTATGTGAATTTTATTTACAGTATGCACTGTATGAGACATCTATCATCTATCGTACAGTATATTCTATGCTTAATATTTTTGAATTTGTGCAGATGACTGGCACAGCCATGAATATAACATTTAAATGTTACCTTTGGCATGCTCAGATCACTACACATTTATTTCCTTGGTTAAATGACTGAAGTCTGATATTGAGAGTTGTATATATAAAATGAAGACTAAAAGATTATTTTAATTATATATTATTTTTCAGTCACTCATTGCAATATGTGGGTTAAATACAATGTATTTAAAAATATAACAAGAAGACAGTGAACTTCCAGTTTACAGTTTTAATAAATAAATTACTGTAAAAAAACAATCCCAAACTGAGAATCATGATGATGATGACCTAGTTTACAAGCTGGTGGTGTTGTGTCATAGCATAGAAGACATGTTGACACT